CCTGGTCTCTTTACCTGGGAGGTTCTGGTTCAGGGGTGCTGGCTGAGCCATCTTCTCCCCAGAATGCTGCTGACACAGGGACCATCAACCTGCAAAAACAATGAGGCCACATCCAGCCAAACCCTGTGACGCCAGGGCTGGCTCCCCAGCTCAGCCCCCTGCCTGGGGAGAGCTCTGTGGCTGCCCCTGCYCTCTGCCAGGTCCCCTGGCTTCCCCTAGCCCAGGGCTGACACTGGAGCCGGCGGCCGGGCGAGCACGGTGCTCCCTGCAGGGCTGGGACTGTTTGTACATTTAAGGAATGCTCTGCAGCTCGGCTGGGATGGCCGTGCTGCCAGCTCTGAGGGTCATGAGCTGGAGTGTGGCCACACAGTGGGAGCAGGCCAGGAAAAAAAAGAGGCTGAAACCTGTATAGGTTTAAACCTGTACGGGCAATATGCAGCACCAAGTTTGCTTTGGATAAAGGGAACTGGTGCTTTGGCAAAGCCACGTGACTGCAGGGAGCTGCCAGCACCCATCAGTGCTGGGTATGACATCCATTCTCACCGCCCAGGGGGCCTCAGGGGTGTCCTGAGGGGCCGATGAGTGGGAATAAACTGCTTTTCCCTGTCAATAACATGGGATAAGGCAGAGGGGAATGAAATGGGAGCCTGTTTTTCCCAGGAGTCAGGCATGGACACGCTGGAGGAGAGCTGACAGGATACAGCTGTGGTCCAGAGGTGCCACCAGCTGTGAGCATTGAGCTGGGACCTGCTGCAACATCTGGCAGCATCTGGGTGTGAAGTGCTCCTGGCAGGAGCAGGGTGGGACAACAGCTCCTTGGGAGCACCCACAGTGGCTGCACATGGCATCAGGGTCCCTGGGCAGTGAGGACACGGTGGCCCTGCCCATGGGGCGCAAGTGGCCATGGGGCCCAGCTGTTGGTGGGCAAAGCATTTGGCACTGGGCTATTTTCAGAAGAAAGCAGGGGAGGAGGAATGCTGCAGAGGAATGGCAGCTTGGGCACAGCCCTCAGGGAAGCTGAGGCTGAGTGCTGCCCCGGAAACGGCGCAGGAYCTGGCCTTGGCTGCACAGAAACACCCACATCCACCCCCAGAACCCTGCCCCTCTCATCTGCTGCTCACGCTGATGCTGCAGCCACTCTCCAGCCGTGGTGCTGTGGCCACCAGCCCTGGGCTTGCCCTGGTCCCGTGGAGCCAGCRCAGCAGCTGTGGYAGTGCCAGGCCAGGCTCAGACTGGGCACTGTGGTGACCTCCCACCCCCAGCCCAGTGCACGGGGCCGGGGCTGAGTCCAGCTGGGCAGAGATAAAACACTTCCCACCGGTCACCAGGATGGACTCTGGGGGTCTCCCACTCCTCTGCCAACCCATCCGCAGCCGRTGCACATCACAACTTCCACCTCCCTCAGGATCATCCCAGCTTTAAGCTGGCACCCCTTCCACTCCCCTGGGAACATCCCAGCTCCATCCTGGGATCCCCCATTCCCGTTCTGCTGCTTTTGTGCCCAAGAGGGTACACACATCCCCCACCCTAACCAATCACTCCCACTCCGGGCAGTGCTCGGTGTCCTCTTCCACATGGCCCTTGCTGCAGGTAATTAACCAGTGCTGGGGCCAGGAAAAAACTTCCCACTGGGCCCCAMGCACGCTGTAAATCAAAAGAAACGAAGAGAGAGCAACAGGAGCCAGAGCCAGCGGGTGTGTTTCCTCAGGGGGAAGTGGCCGGCAGCTCCCTTCCGCTGCCCGGCCGGGTATTGTCCTGCCTGGGGACAGGAAAAGCCTCCTCTGCTGAGGCCTGGATGCCTCTCACACYGCTCCAGCAGCAAAGGTGCCCTTTGCACCAGCACTACACTGGTGTCCCCTCCACTGAGCCGGGGACAAGCTGCTCCTCACCTGCCACCTCCTATGGCCCCTTCAGCCGATGTCAGCAGCTCCCTCCCCAGTGTGGGTAAATCCTCCCACTGCTCCTGGCCCCCATTTYGTTTGGTCTGACAGGATGGGCTGGACCCAGGGCAGGAGTTTGACTTCACCCAGCTCCAAAAAAGGTGATGGGACCAGCTCCCAGCCACGTCCAAATAGCCCCAGGGACCCCACGATGTTCAAACCCTCCTGGAGGGCCTGCGAGGAGTAAACTGTCCCTGGGCTGGGGAAGAGTCGTGGGGCTGGATTGGAGTAGTGGGGGCAGACCAGCAGTCTGACCTAGCTGGACTTGCCACCACCATGGCACCACAAAGAGCAGCCATTCTCCACCTGCGCTGAGTCTCAGCAGGGTCCATTGTACCAACCACTTTGGTGCCAAAGGGTGATTTTCAGCAGCTTCAAGTGCTCCTTTGGTCTCTGAAGGGGCTGGACACACAAACCCCCTATGTGATCCCAGCTCCCTCTGGATGCAATGAAAGTATTGTTTCCAGCTCTGATGTCTTGACAGAAAAGCAGGATGGTAAAAACAGTGTGCTGGTGGAGAGGCTTGGCAGTGAGAGAGAGGAAGAGGAAAAGAGGGAGATGTGCAGGGACCCAACCACCCTGGTGGAGGCAGGGCTGTGCTTTGCCCTGGGCTCACACCTGTATCTTCCCCTCTTGCTGTTCCAATGCCAACATGGGAAACTTGGGCCCAAAACTGGAGCTGCTGCACTCAATTACACAAAAAAGTCATGTCAGGGATGGGGAAGGCTGAGCACCTTGGCACAACCCGGGCACTACCCGCTCCTCATGGCCCAGCCCCAAGTGCAGGCAGTCTGCTGAGACCCCTGATCTCATGGTCCAAGGGGCGATTTCCCCTTGGGGTTCCCAAGCTCYTGGACTGGCAGAGGAGAGGTCTGGGGGAGCTGTTCTTGAAGCTCAACACATTTGGGCCCTTTCCCTCCCCAGGGGCAGTTACAGCAGCCCTCAACCACGTGCTGCAGTGCAGCCCGAGCCGCTCCACCGGCGGGGCTGTGACTGGACACAGGGAGGGCTCTCCCCGGCTCTCCTCCTGAGCCAAAATACTGAGGTCATGAGGAATGTGAGAAGAACAGAGTCCAGAGCAGCCTTGGCCAGCGCAACTTGATTTATCTCAGCCAGGCACGCTTCCCTCGTACTCTGCGCAGGCGATAAGCCCCGAAGCCTGGAACTGAGRCTGTTCCAAAGTTAAAGGGAAACCACTGAGCAAGCACACGGCTTCCTCCACTGCCAGCAGCCTGCCGGGATTCGGGCTCCTCGCACACAGCCAGCTGTCACATGTGCCTGTCACCTGCAGTGTCACCTGCCTGTCACCTGTCACACCTGCACTGTGGCTGGGTGCAGCAGGAGGTGTCCAGGGCTCACAACACCTTGCTGTCCCTGTCCCCTGCTGCAGGGGATGTGTGCGAGGGCCTGTGTCTATTTGCCCAGGCCACCTTGGCCATGCTGTCTKTGCTGGAGCTGCTCCTGGAGGAGCTGGATCCAGGTGGGTGAGTGCACAATGCTGACCCAGAGACAGAAAGGGAAATGCTTYGTTCATCTCAACAGCCTAATTTCAGGGTTGGACTGTTATTTCTGGAGTTGTTGTCATCGATGGTCTGGCTGGCTGGGAGGCCAAAGGGGCTGCACCCACTCCAGCCCCTCAGGGACCTCCCTGAGCTCACACAGACCTGGACAACAGGCGTAGAGTCCACACATAGTGACCCACATGGGCATCAGCTCCACCTGCCCCATCACATCTACAGCACTACAGGGTGTGACAGCTTAACTAGAGAACAGCAACCCTTTTCCTCACATCCTTACCACAGTTGCCCACAGCACCTTCCACCAGCACTTCCCGATTCCCTTGGGATCAGCAGCGATGGYCTGGGCTCCTCTTGCTGTGAGGAAGGGCCTGGAAATGAAATGTTTAAATTTACACTGGGGGTGCCCAGGTGCACACAGCATTGTGCACAGCCCATGTGGGTGAGGCCCACATATGGTGGGCTCTCCATGTGCACACAGGAGCCCCCCAAACCCCGCAGCACCCCTGGGCCCTTCAGCACCCCAAAGGGGCCCAGCACCCGGGGAACCCACAGCACCCCCAGACCCAACAGGTCCCCAGGATCGCAAGGAGTCCCCAGGAAAGCCCAGCCC